CCCAAGGTAATGGGGTTTTTTTTTTTTTTTTTTTGTTTTCTTGTGTTCGTTTCTTTCTCGGGCTTTTTCAGGAGGGATAGTTTCATAACCCACAGAGCATTCTGTGATGCTTTAGCAGAGGAGAGTGCAAGAGCAAACCCACTCCTGTCCACTCATCAACCTGGCTCATCCTCATCAACCCAATTCAACCCCCAAGCATTTCCAGTCCTTAAGAAAGAGCAACAGACTAATTTCAATCTCCTAAGGCCAGAGATCCCACCATGGCTTGCTCCCCAGCCAATCCTAGGTCCTGTTCCTGGCCCACCACCACTTGATCATCTCTCATCCTCATCATCAGCCTCAATTTTCTCCACCTCAAGATTAGATCATCATCATCAAGATCAGTTCAATCACCATCATGATTTATCAAACCCTAACCCAAATCTTGCTGACCCCACTCTTCTTTCCTTCCATCCAAGTACGGTACCCTCCCAACCTCACATGTCAGCCACTGCATTGCTGCAGAAAGCAGCCCAGATGGGTGCAACCGTGAGCAGCAACACTGCCTCAGCCACTGCACTCAGACCCCACCAACAGGCTCACGTGTCTGCAGGTAGCAACAACAGTACTACTACTCCAGCTGGCTTTGGCCTCAACTTCACCTCACGTGAAGTCGGTGGTGCCAACTTTATCCATGGCTTAAACACCGGTGGTGCCACCAGTGGTGCTGGTGGTTCTCATTCTCTTCTCCAAGAGATGGTGAAGTCTTTGTCTTCTGGCACTGGTCTCCATGGCACATCCATTGCTGATGAGATTGGTGGAGTATTTACAAATCTGAAGAAATTACAAGCGAGTTACGGTACTGATCAAACACTCTCCAAAGCAACAGCAACCAATAGCGGGAGAAATAATGAAACCGGCGGCGGCAGTGGTGGTGAAGACTTAACGAGAGACTTCCTGGGTATAAGAGCATTTCCTCATAGTGACATGCTTAATATTGCTGGTCTTGGTAACTGCATGAACTCTTCCCATGAGCATAATCAGAAACCATGGCAAGGTTAGGTGAAATAGCCTTTTTTTTTTTTGGGGGGGGAGATATATATTAAATCAAATTCTCAATTTCGCCTCCCTTTTTTGTTTCCCTTAATTTTATCTTTCCAAAGGGAAAGGACCCTTTGAAAAACTGATATATTAAATACCTTATGCAGCTACTTTTACAAAATTTCTGCATTGCTTTTGTAAATTTTATGCTTATTTTTGAATGGTTCCATGCATATATTATAAGAAATGCTGAAGACAGAACCCTAGATATTCTTTCTTAAAATCTATTATAATATCATAATTAAGATACTATTTATACTAATTAACATGACTGGCATTGTAGATTCAACTTCATAAGAGAGTGACATCCAGCTAAAAGCAACTAATTATTTATAAGTGATCTTCTCTAATGGATTAAAGGTATGATCTCATTTATTATCATATGGGAAATGATTACTACATACTTGAATTAGTACACTTTTTAACATTCATCTCAATTTAATTATTTAAATATAATATAAAATTATCAAATCAGTTAGTTTCTACATCTGTATGTATATATGGTTATCTATTTAAATTTATTTATTTTTAATTTTAGATTAAAATAACAATTTTTTAACAAATATATTATATAATATGTTGAACAAAAATATATATCAATCGTTATCTTAAGTGTTGTCTTAATTGGATATAGAGATAGTATCTAAAAATTAAATTTACTTGAAGAAGTTATACTGATGTGCACTGTGCTCTTGAAATTTCATCTGAAAAAGAAATTATTTTTGAAGTTTTACAAGCAGGCTTCGGGACATCTAATTGGAAACTGAAAAAGATCTCTTAGTTTCACATTAGTGAATTATATATTAATGTGTGTGTTACATTACATGTAAAAAAAACATGTGAAACTGCCAATGAGAACCTAGTTTGTTAGAGGTTTTCAGTTTGAGGCCGTGATGCCAACTCGGATGGGAAAATGATCTATCGGTTTCCCATGTAATGCAACCACCTAATAATAAATTACTAATGAATTTTTTTTAATGGTAAAAATGTTTTTAAGTCAATTTGCATACGTTTCTTGATACTAATCATTTTTAGATTTAGTTAAAGTTAAGTCACTTACGTTAAAATTAGAGAATTTATAAAAAAAATTACTTTATTATTGATCTTTTCAAAAATTTAATTTTGATCAATAAAATCAAAAACGGACTTTTTTTTTTTATTAATTAAGCCACTATTCCTTGAGTTCAATGAACAACTTATGAATTCAGTACGTCTTATTGTATCACTAGGTTTTAATAATTATTTAATATAGATCAAGAATAATTAACAATATTTATCCTCACATTAAAAAAAAAAAAAATACCGATCCTCGTCTATTTATTTAAGCTTTGTTTTCCCCCTTTTTTTTTTCTCATCTTTTTGAGTGATATATTGATGGCAAAAACAAAAGCTACATATATGATAAATGTAACATGAAAAGTCATGATATTTTTATTACTAAAGAGATATATATATATATATTGTAAATTTCTTAATTTCTAATTCGATAACACTTTGTTTTTAATAAACCAAAAAGGTAGATTTAATTAATATAATGTGCAAAAGTTGAGCAAGGTGACTTTTTAACTACATTTTTTAAAAAAATCTTCTCATTAAAAATATGGACAGTCCTCATCTCCCCCCCCCCCCCCCCCCCCTTTTCTTAATAAAAAGGTCATCAATTAATTGGCAATCTTTGGTAATATATATCTATTCTTGCCCATCTCAATATATCTGCCATCTTCACGAAAATATAAAACACGTATACCCAAATCCTTACAAAGTTATGTGGATTGTCTCTAATGAATTAAATTATATTTTAATTAATAAACTTTTAATTTTAATAATTATTGACAAATTTTGAGAGAATTAGATTGTACTGTACTATAATGTTTTTCTGGTATCAAATTCACTGCCGAAAAATGCTAAGGATTAAAGCGGTACATGACTTACACTTTAAGGACCACAAATGTAATAAGAAGAAAAGCGATCGCCTCAGATTCCAATTGAATTGACAGTATTAGGCAAGAATTGATCGAAAAAAATAGATTTTAAAAAAAAAAAAAAAGAGGGGTCCATAATTTGCCTTTTTACCATAAAAGATGACAAGTTTCACTCGTCTTATTATGTAAAGGCAACTTTCTCTTTCTATTATATGTAAACTCATGACGCCCGATCCCAGGCTAACACCCTCAACGTGGTGGTCCAATTTTTTGTGGATCATATATACTTAGATAATTAATATTTATTTTGACAATTTAGTTTTCTCATTTTATTTATTTATAATATTTATTGATAAATTTTATTTAATAAAATGGATTGTTACCCTTTTTTAATCTTTAATCAAAATTAAACCAGAAAAGACCCCTAACATAGTCTTTAGTTTTAGGCAATAGTAAAAATAGAAATAGTAACATTTAATGTCTTTTTAAAATAAAAACTAAGAACAACTAATTATTTGTTTTCTAAGTGAGATGAGTATAAAATCAAAGTGGAGGGAATATAAAAATTTGTTTAAAAATATTTAGTAATGAGTTATGCAATACATGACCCTCTCTTTTTTATCAAATTGTTTGCCTGTTTCAGAATTCAACTTCAAGTTTTTTAAATATAAAAGTTAAATTTTTTAACTGATAATACTATAGTTACAATATTACGTAAAATTATACACTTACAATTATAATGTGATATTAAATGAATAGACGCATGTAATATTATGGGAGAACCCTAACCCTATGTTTGAATTGAGGGGAATGGAGGGGGGAATTATATCTTTTCATTTCCCTCTTTTTCCCTCCTTTCCATTCCTCTCGTTTGGATAAGTGATTAAATTTTAAAAAAAAATGAAAATATTCCAGTTCTCTCTCCTCCAAATTTTTTAATAATCAAATAGATAATTTTTTTTCCATCCCCTCCATTCTCTTTAATCCAAACATACTATAAATTAAAAAAACTAATTATATAATGACACATCATGTTATAAGTTTATAATATCATGTGATTGTTATAAGTATATCATTTTTGTTTTTAACTACTAAAACATCCCTTACAATATCAAAATGGTTTGGTTGGGAAAAGTGAAAATCGTGACTTTTTGGTATTATATTAAAAATATCAAAACATTTAATGATAATCACATGATAAATTTGATAAAATTAGAAACCTATCACAATTTTAATAACCATAATTACTCGCTAACTTTAATCTCATAATCTTGTGAAATCAGTGTGACTTTTGACTGTCAAAAGTTCAATTGTTTGTTTCCTCATTACAATGACTAAAATTTTATTTGAAATAAAAAATAAAATAGTAGGTGTTAAGGGGTGAAGGGGACATATGAGGGAAACGAAAGGCTTAGGATTCTGAAGTGTTGATGTGCAAGTTAGCTTGTTTAAGATATGCTGTTTTCTGCAAAACAAAAGGAGATGCTCTTTGACACCTGTGGTGAATGCATGTGGAATATCAATCCCTAGGGTCTAGCTAAACACGCTGTTGTTACCTAAATGGCCAGCATTTTATATTGGCAAACTCTTTTTTTTTTTGTACATTGAAAAAATTGATTATTTGAAAAAGTTAGTTGTTTGTTAGTGTAAAATTTTGAATCCACAATATCAATTTTTAAATTTTAGTTAAAAAAAGAAGTGATTTTTAAATTAAAAATTTTAATTATTTAATTAATACCAACCCAACTAGGCAAGCTCTTATTAATAATAATGAGAAACTCATTTTTGTTTTGCCGAACCATTAATTAAAACATATTCGATATTGAACGGGGTCAATTTCAAATATGTAGCTATGAATTTGATTCAAATTGTTTCGCATCCAATTATATATGCATAAGCAATGATCAATTGATATATATCCTATAGGAGCAATCTTATGTTTGGTTGGTTGGTTGGTTCTAGATATGTTATTTGACTGTAGTTACTTTCTAATATCTATATTTAATTTGTAAAGTTAAGCTAGCTCAAGGTTTGCTCTACTCTAAATTATTCTATTTCTCCCTAAATATCAATCAAGAGTAAAAAGTTTCCACAATAATTACACAAAAGTTATTTAGTGATGGTAATGCCAAAAAAGAAAAGCAATAAATTGATTGTAATACCAAATCTCCCTCATCCTTTCTTCCCTTTTCCCTTTTTTGTCCTTCAAGATGTTAAAAACCATAATGCATCTCTTCCAATGCTTCTTTGTTTATATATGCATGATAGAGAAAGACAAAGTTGAGTAATGAAATTGGAGGCATGATTAGCCTATGATAAGAAAAAGCAGTTTCAGTGAAAACTTTATAGAAAAACCAGAAGTGCAAGAAACAATATGCTTATCCACAAACATTGCCTTGTTTTGTCAATATTAAATTATAAATTGATGTATATTGGTTAACTTTCAAAGTGGGTATTGGTCCTTTCATTTCATAAAGCAAAGCAAAAAAATATATAAAGAGAGATTCCTCTGAATTCCCACTTCTGACTTCTCCCTGATCTTATGTAAAGCACATATGATCATGGGATCTGAGAGAATATTATGTTATGTGCCTCATGAAAAAAATCCCATGAGTTACCCATGTGTGTGCCAGAAAAGCATTTAGGCAGAAAAGAGAATGGCATGTTTGTCATTTACACGATATGCATTAGACATATTCTACTCTTTTACATATTTGAAAGGCAAAAAGGGATGTGGGCTAGGTATAGGGGGTAGCTCACATGCCAAACCCCATATAGTGTCTCAGATATTTGGTGCTTTTTGTCTGGGGGAAGGGCTCTTAAAATGAAAACAAACAAAGTATGATGGTACCTACAAAAAGCTGTTTAAATATCAAAGGCATGTGCATGTCCTTGGGCTGGATTGGAACAATAATGAGTGGGTTTTTCTGTTGTCTTTGTACAATGTAGTTTGATGGTGGCATAGGTCTAATTAAAATCACAGTTGACTTTCCATTGTAAACAGTGCTACCCTCCCTTTCCTTTAGGTATAACAATAATGAATGATGTTACCTCATCACTTTATCTTTGACCTTTATATACTTTAACCCCACAAACAATTCCCATTTCCTGAATTCCCTCTCTTCTTTCTCAGTTCTCATCCTTGAGGCTTGCACAAAGGTCATATAAACCTTTTATCACTTTTCACAGATAGTAAAATATCTAATTGCCATAAAAAAGCGTAGCAGCTATGGCCTCACTATTCTATCATTTGGGGAAAGGTTTACACATCTTTAAGGAACCAGCGAGCTTGATTTAGGAAAGATTAATTGAAGACTAAAGATATATTTGGAATTTGTCGGCCCCATTTCATTAGCTAATTTTTAGTAATCTTATCACTGCCCTTTGTACCAAAAAAAAAAAGAAAAGAAAAGAAAAGAAAAGAAGCATAGCATATGGGCTTGGCCTGAAGAAGCAGAGCATATGGCCAAGGTTTAGGCTCACTTAAAATTGGACAGACCAGTGTGCCTTCTTTTCTTATATTAATCTTTCCGATACGTTCCACAATAGTGGCCTTAAATTTAGGCTTTGGGCTTGGATTGGGCCGTTTTCTGTTGTTTTTTTCATCGTAGTTTGTATTGCTCAATAGAATACCTGATGTTTCCAAACCGAAAAACACACTAACTTTTGCACGAAATCAGCAGCAACTTTCGTTTTTCAACCTCAAAAATGCTATCAAAAGCTTCAATTCAAATAAACAGTGTCTGGTTCTTTTATTTCAAGTAATTCAAATGTTCTATCACAGTCGAAATTACAATTTAAGCATAGCTTCCCACAAGCTCACTGGGGAAATGCTGACTCTGTCTGCTACATAAGTAACACCTTACAATTGTCTACAAAGATGCAGAACAAAAAGTGCAAAAAGAAAAGGGAAAACAAGATCATTTTGAAGGAGGTGTGGGTTTGTCCTTCTCATCCTGCTTTGATCCAGACATTGCTGCGGTTGCTGCCACTGTCATGGCTGCTGCAGCTGCACCTAGCTTTGCACCACCAGCAGCCTTCATTACACCAGCTGCTTTTGCAAATACAGCTATACCTCCTACAAGGATAGCCCTCAAGGCAACAGTTGGTTTTACTGCCATATTATTCTTTGTATCTGCAATTTTACAAAATCATCAAATTTAGATGTTGCTTTTTCATCAACAAAACATGAAGGTCGGGCAGAAACTATAAACAATTGATTTGCATACAAACCTATGGACATTAGCCAAGCTCATATCTACTAACTCCAAGGCCTTTTATTTTGGGGTTTCAGGCTTTTGTGTTAACTAAGCACTTTAAATTTCCTCAACGCCAAAAAGAATTAAGACATTATGACTTACAAAGATAAAATTTGAGTTCTAATCTCATATCTTTGATTGATTTTGTTGTGATTATCACACACTCAAGCATTTGAAACTGAAGGCATAGCTACTGATATGAAGTAAAGAACCAAGTACAGAAATCCTTCACGACTGCATAACATTCTATAACAAAAGCACTTCAAAATTCCCTCTTTAACCTAAATTGAACCCAAAGATAAAAGGAACTAAAGTGTTAGCTTACGTTTCTTCACCCCCCCCCCCCCCCCTTTTTTTTCTCTCTTGCCAACCATATCTTGGCCTACATAACAAATAACATCTAGTTTCTCAAAAATAATGGGCTTTTTACTAGAAAATGTAAGGTAGAGCTAGAGCCTCATGTAAAGTAACGAACTATATGCAATAATTCTTTGCAAGTTCATAACTTCATATTAAACACAGAATATATGAAAAAGATAACTCATAAACTGCTAATACAAGAATATCAGAGTTCTGAATTAGATTATATAAGTTCAAATTCAGTCCTCTTCAAATACAATTTCTCCTTTTACAACCATTATTGTACTTGTACAAATGGAAGGCTGTTAACTAAAACTAATAGAATCATAAAATCCCAAATCAAGATTTCAAATCATGCCCTAAAGTAAGACTGGGTCAATACCCATTTCCCAAATGGATTATCTAATGCCTCATCATCTTCGTCTGAGAATCGAAACTTAAAATTGAAGACAAGAATGAAGCAGAAACAGATCGAATCAAAGACAAAACATGACAACCAATATTTATCCAAATAAAATCAGATATGGAGATAGAAGAAGACGAAACCTGAACTAGAAGAGAACGATCAATCGAGCTGGTTTGGGAATAATTTATGAGAGTGAAAGCCAAAAAAAAAAAAAATTTGGAAGGTAAGTATTTCCTGCAGAAATCCCACCACCGTTTTTCTTTCGTTTTTCCTTCACTCTCGGAGTCGGGAGGGCCTGCAATGCCTCTTTTCCCTATTACTCATTAACTATCTCTTTCCTGGTCTCCTTTGTGGGCCCCCTCCAATTGGTAAACGACGTCGTTCTTATTTGACCTCGTTATTCTTGTGCATGTTAAATTCATAATTTTGTTTACTATTTAAATAGTTTAATTATAATTTTATTTGATAAAAACAAAAGAATATAAATTTCAAGTGACGTGACATATAGACTATGTGAATTTTTAAAAAAAAGGGAAAAAAATTACTTTGTAAAAAAATTTAAAATAAAATTTTGAAACCTTTCAAATATAAAATTTTGAAAATTTATTATAAAATAATATGATAAAATAGGAGTAAGGGTGACTCTTTATTGCGTTTTATGAAAGAACCACTTTTTTTTCTTTTTTGGGTGCGAATGTGGGGTGGGAGTTGGGAAGAAAATGAAATGTATAAAGAAAAAGTTTATTTGGAGTCGAACACTGAGCTTGTTACAAATTTCTCTAGGAAGAGAATAATTTAAGTTTAAAAAATAAAACTATTAATATTTCAAAAAGAAAAAAGAGTTGAATGTGAATCTATTTTTAAACACTAATTTTTTCCAATTGACATCTCAAAACTCCTTTAATAGAATACATACTCTTCCAACTTTCAAACCTTTTGTTAATTCCTCATTCCACACCCCAAAAATACACATCCATCCAACTGAATCCGTTTCCCATTCCCTCTTATATCTGTCTCCTTCTCCTCTCATTTCTCCCCATCTCCCATTTCCCTCCCTTCTCCTTCCCTAGAGAAAAGAAAGGAAACCCCCCAAACTCCAAACAAGAATACAAAAGAAAAAGAAAATAAAAAAAACTACCGCATCCCCACCGGAACCGCATCCGATATCTCACCCCCTTCCAATTCCAAACCATGCCTAACACTCCGAGAATTGGTACAACGCCGTCGTCACAAGCTTGCGCAGCGTGTAAATACCAACGCAGGAAGTGCACTCCCGACTGCATTCTCGCCCCTTATTTTCCTCACCACCTCCAACGGCAGTTCCTCAATGCCCATAAATTATTCGGAGTCAGCAACATCACCAAGATCATCAAGAACCTCGTCCCTCCCGACAAGGACATCGCCATGCACACCATCATGTTCCAGTCTGACGCCCGCGCCAATGACCCTGTTGGCGGTTGCTACTCCATCATCTGCCAACTCCACGGCCAGATCGAGTACTGCAAGGCAGAGCTCGAACTGGTTCTCCAACAGCTCGCCATTTGCCGCGCCTACGCTGTTCGTCAACAGTCTCAGACCAAAGTTGGAGAAACTACAGTTTCCGATTCCATAATTGGTTCCGAGGAGGTTGTGAAGGTTGACCCTTTCTACAACCTCAACGAACCTGATCTAGAACAGAGTACTTACGTTCAAGAAGATCAGATTGACGGTTGGAA